ATGGTTTTTGAGTCTTACATTTAAGTCTTCAATCCGGCAAATGTTCCCATTTTTAAAAGCTGACAGCTATTTCAGACTTTTAAGAAACTCCATTGAAACTAAACATTTACAAACTGGGATGGCAGTTGATAACCACTGGCAACAAGGATTTTCAATGGCCACAGCATGGTTTCACCACAGTGAGTCAACAAAATGAAGGCAAATTTCTAAGAAACAACCTAGATTAAATATATATTTTAGATAGATAGATAGATAGATGATTGATTGATAGATAGATAGATAGATAGATAGATAGATAGATAGATAGATAGATATGTAGATAGATCTATCTCATAAATTGATAGGTGACCAAACAGCATTGTTTCTCATGGCTTTTCTCACCATAATGAGCGACAAGAATAGAAGGAGAAAGTGTCGCTTCTGCCCCACGTTGGCTTTTGGCCTGTTTGAAGAACGGCAGGCCAGGAGGTGAGGACTCCACATTTATCACGAGCACAGAGCTGGAATGTTAGCCTTGGGGGTCGATGAGAATGGACAGGTGAGAGAAGCCAGGAACGTTTCCGGACTGACTGGTTCAGAGGGATGAATAGGGAGAGGGAATAAGAAGGGACTGAGGAAGCAGTTTAGAAAAGTAGGGGGTTCACATGGAAAAAGCCATCTTAAAAGATCTTTGAACAGAGCAGTTTCCAGTAAGGAAAAGCCTTAAGTGGCCATATAGGTACATGAGAAGAGAATTTGCATTTTTCTTTCCATCTTCCCCCAGCATTCTAGTCTAGGGAGAGTGCATTAGAAAGAACAAGCATCTTACATCTAAACCCAGTTTTTAATCCTGGGGTCACTATGTGCTAGCTGTGAGAACATGGGTGACTTCCTTAATTTTGAACCAAAGACAGAAGTACACCCAGAATAGAAAATGCATATAGACCAGGTGAGAGTTACTTAAGATAGAACATGGAAGCATCTAAGCAGTGCCTGGAGCAGAGAGCCCAGCACGTGCACACCATCTTCCCTGTCCTCTGGTTTCCCAGAAGAACACTGAAGCAATGCTCCTGATTTTCTTTTTGAAGCAGACTAGTAGAGAGTGAATGAAGGACTAGGGGTGGGCAGGCACCTTGATTATCAGGTCAGGGGTTCTCTGTCTTCTCACCCTAGACCACCTCTGCAAAGGCCAGGACTGAAGATTGTGTTCCCCATGACATTTTAAAGCTCAAATAACAAACTCAGATTTCCCTGAGCCCAGAAGTATCATGAAAGTCTGAAGCCAGGGACTTACAAAGACAGCACCAAACGCTGTGTGTCAAAGGGGTATAAGCTTCCAGGGAGCGTTCACAGAACTTCAAGACTAAGCTGGCCTGAGTCCCAACACCTGCAACAGAGGAGCTCCACGGGTGTGAGCCCAAGGTACCCCAGCAAAGGAACCCAAGGAACAGACAAGGGTGGAGAAGATGGAATGAGGGGAGAATTACCGTATAGAGAGATATCTGGCGCAGGAGTGAATCATGGTAACCAGGCAGTAACTAGTGAACAGGCTTACTCACCAAACAGCATCGCTAAATTTTCAAAAGATTAGAAAAAGGATACGAGATAAGCAGCACTCTGCTCGGAGTTGGAAAACAGAAGGGGGCTATTGCAGCCAGGGATAGCCAGGCTTAGTGACTATCATCAGAAAAGAAAGAGCTCAGGGAGGATCTTCTTTGCTGATCTCCCAAAGTCCAGGATGTAATCAGATTATTCTATAAATACGGTGATTCACAACTGTTAGTCATGAGTACTCTGGCCTCACTACCATCTTATCTAATAGTAATTAGGAATCAATGATACAGTCAGTATCAGACCACACAAAAAAATATAGCCTCTCTTCACAAGACACTTATGTAACCAACCCTTGAGCCGTGAAAACACTAAACAGCAAAAAACAGTAGATGAATAATATTTAATCCTAGTTACTGAGACGACGGAAGGATACTTGATTGTACAACCTAGGACGTAACCATCAAGTAAATGATTTCTGTTTCATCAAGGCACCAGGGGAAGAGCTCCCGGGTCACGTTCAGCCTGAATGTTCTTCAGTTTGCACTGAACTCTACGCTGATGTGTTAAACACTTTGAACTTCAGCAGAGAGAAAGCGACGTTCCTGGGAAGCTGGGCCAGGCCCCTCCACACATCATGCCCTTGTGGGGAATGCTTCCCCTTCAGCCTTCGCACGCGTGTGTAAAGACTGAGACAGACCAATCACTAGACTTGTGTTGGAAAATGTAACTGGTGGAGCCCTGGCCAGTTTGGCTCCGAGGTTAGAGCTTCGGCCCTCAGACCAAAAAGTCATGGGTTCGATTCCAGTCAAGGGCACATACCTCAGTTGTGGTTTGGTCCCCAGCCCTGGTCAGGGTCATGCGGGAGGCAACCAATCACTGTGTCTTTCTCACATTGATGTTTCTCTCTCTCCTCCCCTCCTTTCCACTCTATCAAAAAATATCCTTGGGTGAGGATTAAAAAAATATATGTATATATATATTGGTGGAGACTGGTGATGTTAAGAGAGGAACTCTAGACAGACCAAGAATTCCGCACAGCCATCAGCCCTAACCCAGGGCTCCTACCCTGTGCCAGGCATTTCTGCCTCTTTCGGAGCATGAAAGGAATCCTACTGTATCTCAGCTGGTACTTACAGAGGTCTCGAGCAAGGAAGAGATAACGGCAATTCAATTTATTCTTCTTCAGAAATATTTTACCTAGAGTAGATCCTATGTCTTCACTGCAGAAAATGTATTTACGGCTACCTGGATTCCTCCTTTGAAAAGCAAGACCTGTACAAAGTCAAACACTCAAGTGTATTAATTTTAAATAATTAAAAAATAGGCTAAGTGGGACCCTGAAATACATATTTGCTAACTGTACTTCCACTGTGATAGTTACTGTTAGGTCTTCCCAAGCAATAGATTTCAAATGTGGGAAATGAATGAAACGCACTGCATTGAGCATTCTGTGGGGAAGAGCTATCCTAGGCCCAGTGAGTAATTAATTCTTTTTTTTCTTTTTTTTTTTTATCCTCGCCAGAGGACATTTTTTGATATTTTGTTCAGATAGAATGGGAGAGAGAGAGAGAGAACATCGACATGAAAGGGATGCATCGAGTGGTTGCCACTCACACGACCCAACCAGGGCCGGGGACAAACTGCAACCAAGGTACATGCCCTTAGCAGGAACCGAACCCGGGTCTCTCCAGACCACAGGCCGACGCTCTAACAGCTGAGCCAAACCGGCCAGGGCTCTTTTTTTTTTTTAAATTTCGTAGTTGTAGGACTTCCATTCCACTTGATTTCAGGCAGTTTTGAATGATGGTTGTTCTGTAGTTTAGTTATAACTTTGATGTGGTTGTGGGAGGATGCGATACCACGTTTACATACTCTGCCATCTTTTTTTTTTTTTTTTATCCTCACCCGAGGACATTTTTCCATTTTTTGTTCAGGTAGAGTGGGAGGGAGAGAGAGGAACAGAGAGAGAGAGAGAAACATCGATGTGAAAGGAACACATCGAGTGGCTGCCACCTGCACAACCGACCAGGGCCGGGGACAAACTGCAACCGAGGTACGTGCCCTTAGCGGGAACCGAACCTGGGTCTCTCAGGACTGCAGGCCGACGCTCCAACCGCTGAGCCAAACCGGCCAGGGCCATACTCTGCCATCTTGACCGGAAGTCTCTGAATTGTTTTTGTTAGTCTCTATGTCATTTATTTCTGCTCTGATCATTACTATTTATTTTCTTCTACTTGCTCTGGGTTTTTCTTTTTGTTTGCTTTCTAGTTCTTAAGTTGTGAGGATAGATAATCAATCAGAAATGTTTCTTGTTTCTTTTTTTTAATTATTTATTTATTTTTTTGTTACAGATGTTTCTCCTTTTTTACCCCATTGGCACCCCCCTCCTACCCCACCCCCGCCCCATCCCCGGCTTTGTTGTCCATGTCTATTGGTCATGCATACATGCATATAAGTTCTGTGGTTTATCTCTTCCCACCCCCCACCCCCTCTTCTGAGGGTTGTCAGTCTGTGCCCTACTTCCATGTTTCTGGGTCTACCGTATTCCTCAGACTGTATGTTCATTATATTCCGTATATAAGTGAGATCATGTGGTATTTGTCTTTTTCTGCTTGGCTTGTTTCACTTAGGATAATACTTTCCAGTATTATCCAGTGAGTAATTAATTCTTATTTCTGACTTATGATAAGGAATGGAATCTGTTTATCTCTAAGTTAATTTGGCCCGCTGGTACTAAACATTGCCCTAACCGCCCTGAACAACATGTGTTTTATATAGGACTCCGGGCTGGAGTTCAAAGTCTTTCACACTTGACTTGCCATCTAAGAGTTCTCTAAGTTGGGAGAGAGTTGGAGTCAATGTGGTATGGAAACAGAGATGCCCTCGTAGAAAGAATATACTATCTACTCCTCCTGATAGAACTGATGCCTGAAAACATGCAGACCATCCTGAGAGTTGGCTGGAGAAAAAGGTATCACCCCAAATTGGCATCTCGTTTTACAAGATCCTTTGAACTTGCATTTCTATGCCCTCATATTTTGTTGTTGTTTAGTTTTTTTTGTTTTTAATATGTTTTTATTGATATTTTAGAGCAAGAGGAAGGGAGAGAGAGAGATAGAAACATCAATGTGAGAAACATCGATCAGCTGCCTCCTGCATGCCCCCTAATGGGGATCGAGCCCACAACCCAGGCATGTGCCCTGACCAGAAATCAAACCAGGACCTCTCAGTCCATAGGACGATGCTCAATCCACTGAGCCACACCGGCCGGGCTGTTGTTTAGTTTTTATTTCATAATCATAAACTTCACTCTGCAATCCAGCTAGACTTGGAAGGGATGAGGAAATATGAACCCCAGTGAACTGTGGCAAGACCATGAAGGTTACAGAGCAGTCCAAGCAGATGGGTGTGAAGGGGTGCTCCTGAGCTACAGAAGGAATGATCTGGTAGTTAAGACAAAATGCAAGTCAACTTTCTGAGAGCTGTCCACAGTCAGCAATGGTGATCTTCTCGCTGGTCCTGCCGCTCCTGGACCCAAAGCACTCCATGGCTACCACCACGTCCATGCCGTCTAAGGCCACGTGCTTGCCATCCAACCACTCAGTCTTGGCGATGCAGGTGAAAACCTGGGAAACGTTTGTGTTGGGTCCAGCCATGAACCAGATGCCAGGACCCGTGTGCTTCAGGATGAAATTTTCATCATCAAATTTCTCCCCATACATGGACTTGCTGCCTGGGCTATCATGACGTGTGAAGTCACCACCCTGGCGCTTACATCCCAGAATAATTCTGTGAAAGCAGGAACCGTTATAACCAAATCCTTTCTCCCTAGTGCTCAGAGCACGAATGTTTCCTGTCGTCTTTGGAACTTTGTCTGCAAACAGCTCGAAGGAGACGTGGCATCGAAGAAGCCGGTGGGGTTTGCCATCTGGGCACGGCGGCTCCCGGCGGTAGTGTCTGCCAGGCACCCTCATTTTCTTTTGTATGTACCAGAGTTCACCCACTACCTGTCTCTCCCAGCCACTGCCTCAAGACAAACTTCCTTCCCTTGTTCTCAACGTGTCTCTCAAAACTTACTCAAGAAACTCAAGTCCAGACGCCTGGCTGGGGTGTTGAGGCGCAGCACCTCCAGCCCCACCTCGTTCTGCTCCGCCCCGCAGCAGGCGCCACGCTCTGCCCGGATACCGTCCCCGCTTAGTTAGGTCCTAAGCAAACACTTTTTACAAGTGAATGAATTCAACACCTACCCATTTTCAAGGCTAAGTTCACATTTTAGATTATACAGAAATCCTTTCCTGACCAGTACAGTTTGAAGGTGTCACTCCATCCTCTGAAGTTCAAATATAATTTCTATAATCAGTTAAGCTATATTTAGTACCTACTGTGGGCAGATACTGAGGCTCAGTCCAGCGCAGGTCCTGTCCTGGCCTCACAGAGCCCAGAGTGCAGAGCAGAGAGCTGTGAACTACCAAACGAGGGCATGGGTGCTGAACACTGAAAGGTGAATGTTTTCTACCAGACAGACTCATTGATACAGAGAACGAAATGATGGTCACCAGATGCGGGGGCAGGGGTGTTGGGGGGATGAGTCAAAAAGGTAAAAGGAATGAAATTCAGATTGCCAAGGGCACATACCTTGATAAAAATAGTCACAGGGATATAAAGTGCAGCATAGGGAATGTAGTCAATAATATTAGAATAACTGCACTGGCCGGTTTGACTCAGTAGTTAGAGCGTTGGCCTGCAGACCAAAGGGCTGTGGGTTTGATTCCGGTCAAGGGCATGTACCTCGGTTGCAGGTTCGATCCCTGGCCCCGGTTGGGTTCTGTGCGGGAGGCAACCAATCAATGTGTCTCTCACATCAATGTTGCGCGCGCGCTCTCTCTCTCTCTCTCTCTCTCTCTCTCTCCCTTCCACTCTATGTGAAAAATCAATGGAAAAATATCTTCAGGTAAGAATTAAAAACATATATATACATATAATATTTTCCATAAATGTGTGTGTGTGTGTGTGTGTGTGTGTGTGTATAAACTATGTATGATGTCAGATGGATACTAGATTTTTGGGGGGTAATCACTTTGTTCGTAAGTTATATAAATGTCTAATCACCATGTTATATACCTGAAACTCATATAATATTGCATGTCAACTGCAATTGAAAAAGAAAATAAAGTAAATCTGTTGGTTTTATTTATACGTACTTATTGAGCCCTGGCCAGTTTGGCTCAGCGGTTAGAGCGTCGGCCTGCGGTCTGGAGAGACCCGGGTTCGGTTCCCGCTAAGGGCATGTACCTAGGTTGCAGTTTGTCCCCGGCCCTGGTTGGGTTGTGCGGGTGGCAACCACTCGATGTGTCCCTTTCTCGTCGATGTTTCTCTCTCTCTCTTTCCCTCCCACTCTATCTGAACAAAATATAGAAAAATGTCCTCAGGTGAGGATAAATAAAAATATAAATAAAATAAAATATACATACTTATTGAGCTCCCACTAGCCTCCAAGCACCACCTGAGGTACCTTTTATGAGTTCTCATTTAATCCTAATGAAATTAAACATTTTACCAAGAAAAAAAACTAAGACTCGGAAGAGCTAAGATGGTTTCCAGTGGCTATTTGGATAAGCAACAGAACCTGGATTCAAACCCAGTTGAATCTGAGCTCCTTCCACTGTCTCCCCAGCCGCACAACCATAGGAATATGTTAGGCTGGGAGGAGGAACACATCCCAGGCTAAAGAAACAGTACAGGTGAGTTCAGGAATGGGGAATGGCTCAGAACACCCAGAGAACAGGTATGTGTTCTCTGGACAAAGGTTAGACTGTAAAGTGCCTTAGACTCAGTCCTGTAGGTTAGAGAGGAGTTTCAGTGTTTACATGTGTGAGGCTTAGAGCCGTCGAAGCTGGTGGACTTCTCAGATGGAGAGCAAACCATCCCAGCTACCACTGAGGAAGCCAGCAGGTGCTGTCTGTCCTGCTGAGCCAAACTCCTCCACTGCCAGGTTCCTTCCTGCCCCGGGTCAGCCGCCACAGAGCTGTCTGAGGGGCACGAGAATGCACTTCAGATGTGCGCGGCACACAGTGCGTCCTCCCGGCTAACCCTCGCAACACCGGGAACTGGGCTGTGTGTGCCTGTGGGCGGATGAAGGAGAGACTTAGGGAGAAGGCGGGTGTCCAGTTCCAGCACCCATACTCTTGATCATGAGCCATGACAGCGACCAGGCAGAGATGAGAGAAGTCTGGGCAGTTCCTTGTGAAGGACCCAGGTGAAGAGTTGCTGAGATCTTTAGGGAAATATGTCTAGCTCTAACTGGCTACTCTCGTCAAATTCCTGAGCAACAAAGGTGAAAATCATTTAATCAAGATGTAAAGCGGCGGTGACTCCCATTCCCACGCGATCAGACTTGGGATGGCAGAGGGCCTGAGAGAGGAGCAGTTTCTCAGTCTCCTCTCCTTGGGAGCAACTCATCAAAACATCCTGGTTCTATCCTGGCAGCTCATTCTTTGCCACACTAACTTTCGTTCATCCAAATATCTAAGCATCTACTCTCACCAGGTGTTGTTCTAGGAGCTGGGTGACACAAAGGACAAGATCCCTGCTCTCCTGAGCCGAACGTCTGGCAAAGGTGGCAGGAGACTGGGGAGCTACCATTTTCATTCATACCCGAGTGACGAGAAGCAGCCAGCCTTCAAAGCTCCAGGATCTATTATACTTGGTGGGCTGAAAAGAACAACTTTTAAGTCTCAGTTCCTTATTTATAGGTGAGTCAATAGGAGCTCGGGGAGATTAAAAATTGAGACAAGGTCTCCGACAAGCCATGAGGCAACTCCTGCCATTGTTACACAGAGCCTTTGGATACATACATTTGAAATGTAAGCACATGTGTGTTTCTGCTCAGACACATATGTATCATTTTGTTTTCGGTACAGCCTTCAGCAAGAGATGAGAGGCTTTGACAGATGATGAAACTGAGACTCCGGCTGGCTCAGTGACTTGTCTAATAGCCTGTCACCAACAACTGAACCAAAACCCAGGTTATTTGTATTCCAGCCCCATGTTCTTTCCTCTGAATGAGAAGCAACTATCTAGCCAATGGTCTATGAACATAAGACATCATTACTAGCAATTTCATAGTTTATGCTGCAAAGAACATGCGAAAGAGTCAAAGATAAGACCAATTTACTTAGTCATAACACACAAACTCAAAGTCCTTGAGCTATTTGCTTCAGGATAGAACATGTGACTCCAGGTGACTAGACAACCGTGACCTGAGACAATCGGCCCCTGTGACTTCTGGACAGAGGAATGAGAGTGTGTCGCTGCAGCTCTGCGGGGGCTGTAACTACGGGGAATGTGTCCCGTGGAGCCAGCCAGAACAGGCTGCTCCTTAGCAGGTGAGCCCTTAGATAACAGTCGCAGTTGAGTCCCTTGACCCCAGCTTAGAAAAGGAGTTGCCAGTGGTTCCCAAACCTCGTGCCCATGAGAATCATCTGGGTGAGTAGTAATAAAACAAAGATTTTCCAGACCCACGCAAGACCCAAAGAACTAGAAACTCCACAGGGCAGAGCCTGGAGATCTACATGTTAAAATTCAGCCAGCCTAGAAGCCCTGGTTTGTCCTCGTGCTCTAACGTAAAGAAGAGTGATGCCCGTCCTCGTTATCCAGTTACACTCGATGGGATTTTTTTTTTTTTTATCCTTACCATTTTTGTTCAGATAGAGTGGGAGAGAGAGGAAGAGAGAACATTGATGTGAGAGAGACACATTGAGTGGCTGCCTCCTACACAACCCCATCCAGGGCCGGGGACAAACCGCAACTGAGGTATATACCCTTAGCGGGAACCAAACCCGGGACTCTATGGAACGTGGGCCAACACTCTAACTGCTGAGCCAAACTGGCCAGGGCTAGGCGGTATCTCTTAAGGAAATCTCTAATACCCACAGCCCTTGCATAGCAGAAAGGTGCTATGAGTATCCCTGTGCCTGGGGAGGTCTGTGGTCTCACCCTTGGCTGCACATCAAACCTCCATGCAATCCTGGGAAAGCATCTTCTGAAGATCAGTTTACCAACCGGTCTCCTAGACTCTCTCTGCTTGAAAGGCAGCGCCGGGCATTTCAAGCAGAGAGAACCTAGGAGAGCAGCCGTCACACACACCCCACCACCACAGGGGCCTTGCTCCTTCCCCACAAGCCTCTCCTCTGCTCTGAACAGCCAGCCACTGGTTGGAAAAGGAAAAAGGAAAAGAAGGTGTGTGAGGCCCCGGTGGCCAGCCCCTCAGCCAGGGGGACACAGAGTCAGCTCCTACCTGGACCTGGGAGGAAGAGCTGCTGGGTCCACTTGGGAGCTCACTCTCTGCGGGTGAGTTGTTGCCTTGGAACTCACTGGACTTTGAACAAAGATTGGTTTAAAAGCTGATGTATTTAACCGGGACAGAAGGTCTGAGTTCAGGTGACCTCTGTCCTGCTTCCAGCCAACTGGCTGGGTCCTCAGCCGGGCAAACCCAGTGCACCGGCCCACCTGCCTGCCTGCCGGATGCCACTGCTTGCCAGCCCCTCCCAGAGGAGAGGAGGCAGGGGGAGGGAAGAGCCCAGGGGGAGGGGCCTCTGCCTCCCTCAGTGCTCTCCCTTTGGAAGATGTCTGGTCACACCCAGCTAACACCCAATGCCTCAGGAGCCTCCACTGACTCCCATCCCAAGGTCGGGGCTGAGGGTCACTTGAGCATCCGCTGCACTGAGTCTTCCTGGGGAGCAGTAACCTGTGCAACCACCACCAGTAGAAGGCCAGGAGGCCAGCGAGCGAGCCCAGGAGACGGAGCCAGGCCCCACTGCGTCCTTCCCTCTGGCAGTGGGAGCTCTCTCTTGCTTGCTCCCTGGGAGCCGAGCAGTAAAGCCCAGGCTCCCTTCCTCTTGCTCTCCGCTCTTTTCTCTGTCTCTGTCTCTGTCTCTCTGTCTGCCTCTCTTCCCCCTCTCTCACCCGAGAGTGC